AAACATGTTGGAATATGTAGAAAGCTAGATACAAGAAGATTTACTCTGAGGATGACTTTCTTAAAAGTGACATTGTCTTCTCTAGCACGCAACAGATAATGAATGACCTAAAGGTTACAATTCAAGATCAACCTTTTGAGCAAGAATAACAACAGATATAAAGCTAAATGGAATCCTCCAGAATCTAGTTGGGTTAGACTCGATGTCAATGGCTTTGTTATAGATAGTGGTGTTGCTGCATGTGGTGGTATTATCAAAAATGATAAGGAAAATTGGATTAAGGGGTTCTCTAAAAATCTTGGTTATTACTCGAGTACAGCAGCTGAGCTCTTGAGAATTTTAGAAGGACTCAATCTTTGTTGGAATGAAAATCTTGTCAAAATCAATGTCTACTTAGATTCATTGAAAGCCTAATTGCTCATTAACAATAACTATTGTGATACCCATCCACTCTTTATGATTATCAAGAACATTAGAGAACTTATCATGGGAGATTGGGAGATTACCTTTGATCATGTCTATAGGAAAGCTAATAAATGCATTGATTTTCTAACCTATAAGACATCTTATGGAGATTTTGATATTTTTATCCTTGACAACCCGTCCCTCGATTGTATAAGTCTCATGGCTTCAAATATAACTAAACCTTAGCCCTTTTTTGGCTTTTTGCATGATTTTTCTGTGACCTTATATTTCAAAAAAAATATTGCAGCAGTCAAGAAATAAGATACGAGTGTTATTATATTATGTCCTAATTATTTAATTTCTTTTCTCTTTTTAGGTATAATATTTTCTTTTATTTGCATTCTGCACTTGTTTTTTTGTTAGAATTTGTATTTTGTGTATTTAGTGAGATAAAAATTGTTACTTTCATTTTGCATATTAAAACTGATAATTAGTACTGAGAACTGCTTCTCATAAAATTTAGGGTTATTGGACAATTTAGTCTTTAAATTTTAGATCCAAGAGCATATAGGATCATAAATTTTTTTTTTAATATATACAATGTTACCCATTTAACTTTTGAAAACATTACAATACTATTTTTACTATTAATAACAATTAATTTTAATAGTTAGTTGATCAAATGATGATAGAAAAAAATTTTAAAAATTACAGAAAAAGATCAATAAAATTTTCTTGATCCATTTTTAGATTTTTTTGTAATTTGAAGTTAATTTTTAATCAATTAATAATTAAAATTAACTTTTATTAATAATATGAGTGATATAACAGTATTTTTAAAAATTAAAGAAGAACATTAAAAAAAATTAATCTAAAGTCTTAGACATTTTAAGACCTATAATTTAGTGGCTAGATAGCCCTATAATTCTAAAATTTAATGGAATAAGATCTATTGACACTCCAATCCGATCCACCAGACGTGATGGATCATTTTGGACCTTTGCTCATTTTTCTCTCATAAAATTATTATAACTGTTGCTGTTTTGTTGTACTTTTTTCAATTCCAAAAACACACAGACACATAGATAGCTGACATTAAGTTTCAATCATCATATCATCACAAACAATATTTAGTCAGGATATATAGTTTTTTTTTTTGATGGTTTGAATGGAAGGCATATACTGGTAAAAAAAAAAAAAAAGAAGAAGAATGGACGGCATAAAAATATAATGATATAAATAGTGTTTTCTTTTCTTTTGGGCTGAACATCATATTATTATGTGAAAAGGATATCTTTCGTGGGCCGAAAGTACATGAGATGTGACTCCTTCTCAACTAAGCGGCGCATAAACTATTGGATGACGTTAATTAAAAATATTATTCTTTTCCAAAACCTTACTGAGAGTTCTGCTATTTATAGTTTATATATCACACAGCTTATTATACATTTTATTCCTTTTGTTTAATATTATAAAGCATTTTTAGTAGAATTATACTTTTAATAAATTAGTTAATTATTTTTAAATTTACATCCTCTTTATTTCTTTGCCACTATTTAATAGAGTATTTTGATTAAAAAATCTTATCAATTACACCTTCTAATTAAAGGTATTTTTAGAAAAATATCATTAATTGCACCTTATTCAAGATACCTTATATTTTTAAACATCTTGTCTCGCAAAAATATCTTGCATTTTTTAATAGAGAGATTTTATTTCTTTTATATCAAGCCAAAGTTCTTTCTTGTGTCCACCAAAATGATATCAGGTGGGTTGGTTGGGAAAAAACATAATATTAGGTTTGTTAATATAATATTTCTGTTTATTTATTGTGCACGAGTGTCTTCCTATAGAGACAAGGTTGAATATTCAATTGAAGCATTTCTCTTAACAAATATTTGAATCCTAATTCATCATATTATAAGGAATTATCTCCTTCTACTAGATAAAATTATGTTGGTATAATATTTGTGTTTAGTTATGATTGTTTATGTAATTCAAAAACCTATTTGAAAACTATTTCAAGTGCCTGCTGGTTTCCTTTTTTCTTGAAGTATAATCCGCTTGAGATATCCATGAGTTTTATAGATAACTATTGATTTTTCAATATACTATACACATTATTGTCACAAATTGTTAAAAAATTGTGTGTGTGTGTGTGTGTAAACACATGTCGATGATAGTGCATTCGTTTTCATTTGCGTGTGCCTATCTCCTTCGGCGAAAAGGAACGTCATAATATCTTTTTTTATATTTTTTTTAAATGCATATTACGAAATAAACTCCGTCAAGAACTAGCTTACAGTGGCTATTGTAGGGAACCAATCCAAAATGGACCGGACAGCCCAGCTTAAATTTAAAGTGAACCGATGGATCAGCCCAATAATGAAATTAATTCATATTAAAATCGGCAAATTTGTCTTCGAATTTCATATATTTCAAAAAATTTATTGCAACATGGAAATGAAACCGAAGTTGTGAATTGTGATCAAAGTATCTTCAAATTCTGTTTGTGTCAAGTTTAAATGTTAATTGGCGTAAGAAAAAGTCACGCATTAAATTGAAGTTGGCTTACAAGAATAGGTATTTATTCAATAATAAGGGCTCGGAAAATTGGATTTGTTTGTTTTGTGCAATGGAATGAAACAGGGAATATTATAATAAAACAGTATTTTTTGATGTGAAATGTTGTATGTGTCTTCATAAAAAAAGTAATGATAAAAAATTGTTGTTATTAAGTTGAGTGTTAAGTATAAGAATGTAATAGATATTTCTCATCTTGATTCATTGATCATCATGATTCATGACATTAAGAATCCGTTTCCATTGTGTTAACCAAACAGGGTCTACTTCGTCAAGACATTGATTTCTCCTCTACAAAAAATTTACACATACAACATATTTTTTTTAAGAACAAAAAGTAGGCTCTACCCAAAAAAAAAAAAAACTCTCCAGCAATAACATGATGGGTAGACATCTCTTGACTAAATTGCTACATATATAAGAGTTGAGATTTGAATTCCCAACCACTTGTTTAAATGACAAAGTCTCTACTATTTACGTCAATTTTAATTAGTTATACCTCTTCTATTTTTATTCACTTGTAAATTGTTATTTTTAAATTTAGCAGTATAGATATTTTCCATCCACAAAGTTATTTTTTTATTTTATCATTCTAAGTATCAATCAACTTAACTTTTATGGTATCAAACATATATGTAAGCATGTGTTCTCATAAAGGCTGACATTTGTCAATACAGATTTTTTTTTTTCTGCACAATGAAATTGGATTCTTTATGTATATTTCATCTTTTGAGCTACTCAAAACCTCTAAGCCTTATAAAACTTATCATCGAGACCAAAATATAATCCACCAGTAAATATCTCATCTTCATATTTGTGATATATATATATATATATATATTGGAATTGATAAAAGTGGCAAAGAATGGGATGATACATAATAATGAAGCACGACTTCCTTATCTTTTACTGGTCCCAAAGATGTACCCTTTTGTATATGGATATTGCTTTAATAAAGCCAAAAGCTTGTGTTCAGATAATTGGCAGTTTTTTTTTTTAAAAAAGAGCCGAATAAAATGGAAAAAATGATTGCTATTGAATAATGATTAAAAAAGATATAAAAATATTTATAAATATTATTTTAATATGAAATATAAAAAAAATTATTTTAGTTAATCTAGCTACGAGCTAAAGCTATACATAAATTGAACACTTCAAAGCTAGGTTAACTGATAAAATCTTTGTCTACAATGGATAGCTACAAAATTTAAATGTGCTGTCTTGGTCCTCATCTTAGTGGCTTGATCTATGTTTTAGCCCCTCAAAAAAAAAAAAAAAAAGCATAGCTTGATCCATGGACGGAAAGAATTGTGGGGGGAATAAAAGTCTAATTAACCAATGGGCATTTGGTAGAATTGATAAGGGCTACTATCAGCATTTTTCAAGGTGAGGGTTCGAACTCTGGGAAGTGACAGACGCGATAATTAATAAAACCTCAAAGAGGTTGTCGTATTGATACCTCGCTACCACCGTAAGGTCTCCTCGTTGGGGGTCCGGATTAGTATGGGGCGGGCAATAAACCCAAAATACCGGATGGTTCATACCAAAAAAAAAGTCTAATTATCAATAAATCCAATTTACATGTCATCTTATGATAATTTATTAGAGGAAAGACCTGTTAGTGCTCAACCTCTTTTTTAGGTCTTATTTGTAATTTTTTTATTTTAATTAATTCTCAAAAACTTTGATCATGTTATGTCTCACTAAAATATATGATTCTACACACACACACACTATTTCTTAAACTCATTTAAAGGTATTGAAACTTAAAAGAACTAAAGTGATTAAACAATATTAAAATGATAGTGATAATTAAGTTCATTTATAAAAAGTATCAAAATGAACCTCCAAAGAATGTGAAGACCAATAATTAATTAAAAGCCATGCTAATATATTTATTAATTACTTTGAAATACATTATCCATCCTTAATCCAAATCGGAATATCAATTAATTGAACAAAATGAAAATTGTTGAAGATAGAACTTAAGCTACTTGATTACTCATGTCCTTACATCGTCTTTCTTGCATTCGTCACGAAAAAAATGATCTTATTAATTTGAAAAAAAAAACATATATACAAAACCATATTCAAATAAGCTATAAACCCAGCAGCTAGCTAGTTGTTTTTGACAATATATATTATATATTGCTTGAATAATTATAATTTCACAGAAATACACATATCTGGAAAATAACAAAGAGAAAAGAAACAATAAATCAAGGTGTGTGAGCCAAACATTGAAGAATGTTCACCTGCATTTGCAAGCACCTTATATAACTTCCCAATTCTTTAACCATTTCTTCTCCCTCGCCTATTTCTTCTCCACCTGGAATCAACCTTCTCAGTCTTTTAAATCCTTCTTCTTCATCTCTGTCATCTTCATTATTACCAGTAGGGTTTGCAGAGAAATATTGTGACGAAGGAGAATCAATGTGATGATGATGGTCGTCATTGATTATTGCTGCAACTGCATTGGTTTGATCTTCTGCTGGTTGAAGCTTGGCTTTTAGGGCTTTAGTCCACGCAAAGCCTGGTGGGGCTGACCACACCATAGCCATGCCCACTTCACGCTTCACAACATTCACACAACTGCTCTTTATCAGACCACCACGACCATCATCATCTTTTGAAGTATCAGCAATATCACTCTTCTTGTTCTGCTTCAGCTTCATCAAAGCTGGAACCAAATGGCTCAAGTAGATTCTCGCGAACTCAGCTTGAGCTATTTTGCTGGGTTCCAGAGAGTAAATACGTCGTCGCTTTTTCAGCTTCTCCACCATATCTAACCCACCAGAAAGAAACTGCACAATATAAATAACAACCCAGAAAGGTAGATAAGAATCTGAGAAGACAGTGCAAGGGAATTGAAGAAGGGGGGGGGGGGGAGAGATTACTTGTGTGAGAGGGAGAGGAAGAAGATATTATGGGCACATGAAGAATTCAAGTTCACCAGATAAAGTATCACTACTGACATATATGGAGGACAGCCCACAAAATAATTGCCCGTGGACAGGAAAATTCAAATTTACCATCAGCTTTTACGTAACCTATGTTTGGCCTTGATTCTGAAAATAGATTAATTAATAAATTCATTCAGGAGAAAAAAAGTATTTACTTTAGATACTTTTTTGTTTTACATGTATGGCTCGTGCATGCTCACAACTTACTTGGTTTTGCATGAATGATATTCCCAAGATTTCTTTTTATTTAGATTCAAATTAAATTATTTATTCTTTTTTATCAAATAATTATAAATTCTTATGTGCCTATATTACTATTAAATTAATTAATTAATTATTTTTTATAATTTCATATTTTGATGAAAAATTATAATTATGCCGAAAACAATTAACCCGAATACGATGAACTCAATTTCTCTTAAGTAATATGGTGAATTAAGAACCTTGTTGATAAAAAAAATCAAATGGTAAGAATTACCTTCAGTTGAATCTGATGATGCTTGATCTTGATTTAATAGTAGGATAAATTTATAAAATAATATAACTATTTATTAATTATTAATAGTACGTAAAATCATTTTTTCATTTAAAATATAATATATTGACCACTGAAAAATAAATCATTTCATTACATTTTTATAGTACCGATTTGAGCGCAAAAATATTGGTTACAAGCAACATGTGGATAACAGGCAGGATTGGATAATCTGAAATGTAAAGAATGAAGCAGGCAATTTAAGAACAAGAAGAATGCTATGGCAGAAACTCTTTACACAAATCTGCTAGAATATTTGAAAAGCTAGATGCAACAAATTATACTCGATAGATGATATCCCAAACAACAATCTTACCTTCTTCAGCACTCAACAGATTAATAATAATTTGAAGTTTCTGTCCAAAATCACTCACTTGTAAAATTGCAACTCTACAGATGACAAAAAATGGAGTCCATCTAAACTCGAATGGGTTAGACTTGACACCGACAGTTTTGTTAACACTAATGGTACCGCAACATGTGAAGGCATCATCAAAGATGATAAGAAAAATTACATTAAAGGATTTTTCAAGTACCTTAAATATCAACCTAGCACGGCAGCAGAACTTATGAGAATTCTTTAAGGACTAAATGTTTGTTGGAATACGAAATTATCAAAAGTCAATATTCTCTCTGATTTGATGGATGCATTGTCGCTCATTAATCGCACCTACTCCAAGAGTCGTCTTTATTCTAGCATTATCAGAAAGATCAGAAATCTTATTATGAGAGATTGAATGGTCACTTTTGATTATATTCATAGAGAAATAAATAGATGTGTTGATCTTTTAGCTCGTCAATCTCTACATGATACCTTTAATATTATAATTTTTAATGTATCACCGTATGATTGTAAAAATATTATAATTTTAAATATAATTAAATTTTAGTCTTTTTATATGATTTTATCGTGATCTTGTAATTTAAAAAAAAAATAAAGAGTAAGAGAAAATAAGAAAGAGAGAGAAAGAGAAGTATGGCAAAAGTCAAGGGGAGGGAGGGGCACATGGGCTCACATGGAAGCAGAGAGTAATAGGAAGGGTCACATGGCATGTGCAACTCACAACAAACAGGGGAGAGAGTTTGGGCCACTCTCTCTCTCTCTCTATAATAAATGCACCCACGTGCACTCCCTCTCTTCCCTTCCTTCCCGTCCTTCAACTGTCTTCCTGCCAATATTTTCATAATCGAATCAAATATTAAATTAAAAAGATTAAAAATGATAATATAATAATTAAATTAAAAAAATATATATAATAATTTAAATATAAAATTATTACTTAATAAAAAATAAAATTAAGTATTTTAAATTTATCATAACTTAACAAGTCATATGATATGAGATAACATTAAATAATTAAAATAGTTGATCATTTTTTAAAAAATATGATAAAAATAAAAAAATTGAATAATTCAGTTTTTAAAAATTGGAATAAGTTTTCTACTTGATCTTGATTCTTAATTTGACTGTCGGTCTAAAATGACCCAACTCAGGTCAACCACTAAAATAAATTTTACATGCTGATCGAACCGAAATCCTAATCAATTGATGATTCAACTGGTCTAACTATCCAGTGTGATCTAATTTTTTAATTGCTCTTTTCAACCCTCAACATCTCTCTCTTTCTACTCTTTGCTTATTCTTTTCATTGTTATCAAATGCTTCATCAACTCCCAAAAGTTGTTTTATCTAAACTAGAGGTATCAAATTCGAATGCTAAAACTACAGCAATGTAAGTGGCTAGTGGCACCTGTTCTTATGGTACTTGCCATGCCTTGATTTAAATTGGTTTGATCTCCATTAAATCCTCACAGCTAGATTGAAGTAGGCCAATGATACCACGTACTCAAGTAAAAAAAATAAAATAAAAGGCTTTTTATCTAACTATATCTTCAATAAGTTAGTTAATTATTTTTAAAATTATATATTCTGAGAGAAGTACCTACATTTAGTGTCTGATTGTGTCTTAACTAAATCATCTCCAATAAAATGATACCTATGAGTAATAAAAAAAAATTACATATTCTTTTTATATTTATTCTTATTTAGTAGGGTATTTTAATTAAAAAAATTATTAATCACATCTTTAATTACAGATAATGTTGAAAAAAGCTAATTAATTGTATATTAAAGGACCCAAAATCCTTTATTTTTTTTAATATGATGATTTATAAAATACATTATAATACTCAATGGAATGAGTAATTATATTACAGGATCACCACTTTATGATTCAACAATGAAATAAGGATTAGGGTGCAAAAATACTTGTAAACTTTTTATATAAGAGCTTTTGATATCATTGAGTCAACAATGAGGCATAAATATCCATTAACTAATTTACAAAAGAGATCAACCTTTTTCAATGTGTTAAAATATCCTAACAATTAAAGATTGACCTCTTTTATAAAATTAATGAGTGCCCATGTACATATTAATTTAAAGATATCAGGAGCTTATGAAGAAAAAAATTATGGATATCTTTACACTTGAACCCTTGAAATAAAATAATTAATGCTACGCAAACTCCGTGATCCAGGAAAAAAAAAAACCTTACATGTAGAATGTAAGTTTGCATAATGCAGATATGTACGGAACTTTAGAAACGAATCAGACCTTGGACGTCCCCTGTTTCAATCAGAAATTATAAATTAATTAGTCCAGCCCAAAACTTCTGTGCATATATTTCTTGTGCTAAGAAGTGATTAAGAAAAGTAGTTTACATGTGATTTTTTTTAATCTGCATGTATCCTCTTATTAAAAATAATTCTGTTTGAGGTACTAATATACATATGATTTGAGTAATACAAACCGAAAATAGCCCCCGTTATATACTGTTAAAGGAACGATTTCGTATATAATAGAGGCAATAATAACGATCATAAACATGATTGGAGATATGTAAGCAAGTCATACTCTCTGGTGTCTGCTGAGAAAAACCCTGGAAAATTTTCCAGAGATTTGACCAATTTGATAATGAAACTGAATCATCATAACATATATTTAACCACTGGTTGTATATGATTAAAGTAATGGCTAAATTATACACAACTCCCTCAAACTTTGAACCATGTATAAATAACCCTCTTGATCTTTAAAACTTTATAATAAATCTCCTTAAACTTTTAAGTTTATACAAATAATCTCTAGTCATTAATTATATACTCTTTAAAGTTTATTTTTTGCGCATTTAAGTTCTCAAACTTTGACTGGTATATATATTATCCCTTAAACTTTAAGTTATATATAGATAATTAATGCATAAAATTAATTATACAGAGTTATCTGTATAAATATAAAAGTTGAGGGGGCCTCATCATAAATTTTTAAAAATTGAGGAGGTTATATATATACAGTTTAAAGTTGAAGGGAGTAACATATAATTTAGCTTAAATTAAATAGAATAACATGGCCGTATTGTTTATTTTTTTACCAGCGCATAATATGACCGTATATTAAGATCTATACTTCTGCCTGTACCATATATTCATCATTTCCTTTGTCTTTATCACTTTTTCATTTTCACAATATACCCTTTTGTGAACGTAATCGTTACCGGATTCTAATCTCCATGAACAAGTTTATTAATATTTTAGAATCAAAGAAGAGGACCGTTAATAAATTAAAGGCAGCAAAATAATCTTATTAAGTGAAAGTTTAAATGAGTTGGATTTAACAAAAAAACAAAAAGTGAGTTATTGGGTCTTAAAAACCAATCAAATCAAAGCAAAACTCTCTATTTGAAAATGATTAATCAAGAAACTTAAAAAATACCGGTTAACTAAATATTCAAACTCAATCCATATAAATCATATTCTTATTAATTCGGCTAAATTTTAATGGGAGAATATCATTCAAGGTCGAACATATAAAACTTATTAGCATAGAAGGTCCACAACAACATGAAATTTCACAACAGATCTTACATATTCAATTAAAATTAAAATTTACTGTTTAGTGATTATAACACTCTTCATTCATTTAATTAAAAAAATAACAATCATTGTCATCAACAACTAATCAATTTTCAGAGCTCCAGCAACAAAGTCAACAGTGATAAACCCTTACAAATTGATAGGAAGGTTTGAATTCAAGATAAGTCGAAGTTCAAATTTTGACAATTTATTCATAAAAGGAGCTGTTGAGTGTTCACATTTCTACCTTAATTACTTTAAAAGAGCTTGTTAGAGTTGACCTCGTCATGGGTGTCAAAGTTCCAAATAGCTATAAACCTTAAGCTAATTAAAAAGTAAAATTTAATTTTAATTGAGGACGTGAGGCCTATGGTTAAATTTCATATTGTTTTGGGTCCTTCATGCTAATAAATGTTTTACAGAGGCTTGAATAATATTCTCACAAATTTTATTGACCAGATGAAAAAAGTGATTTTGGATTGAGAAGGATGGAACAGTAGCAGAGACAGAAGAGCCTCAGAACTAAATGCCAACC